GGAAGATCATCCGAGACCGTTCTTTTTAATTAGCTTTTGCACTCTCGTCCTCATCCAGACACAATGATCGCGCGGACACGGATCCTCTTAATTGTCGGAGAAATGGCGGAGAATCGCGTTCGTCGCGAGGAACGAGTTTTCGAGCAGGTTGCTGCTGCGCGAGGGACTAAGTAAAGAGCTCGGCTGTGTCGTTATCGTGATTATCGCCGTCCCGGAGTACGCCGGTGAGATGTGAGATGCTGCTGAGAAAAAATACGCGCGTCGATCGTTTAAATCGATCGGAGCCGAGCGAAATCACAGCGAGCGGGTCCGAGGCCTGTAATTCTCCCGTAATAGCGTCGGAAAAGATCGTCGTTACTTTTACGCAAGCACGCACGCACGCACGCACGCACGTACACACATACACATCCGCTGCGTGCATCATTACATCTTTACGTGAATTTGATTGGCAGATTATCGTCAACGACATGAATGAGCCGGAGTTGAAGCACCACCGCTGCTACTTTCATCGGAGCTAATGGAAAGTGATTACGATTAATCGATGGCTCTTGAAACAACGATTGTTGTTTTAAAACAATCCTTTAGCTACATTTCTCATTGCGAAACATTCAGAGTTTTCGCGGTTTATAGTTCAGTTTACGATCCTTAATTACTTTGGAATCGTATACAAAAGTTTTATTATTTTATTCATACCTGCATGTAATATATACATATAATCGTTTCTAAGATATTAGGAGAATATATTTCGCAAAGAAGTATGCTAGTAGTAATACAGATGACGAATATTAATTTGGTGTCTTTAAATATCCTCGAAAAATCGTATCTGAACTAGTAGGAGAATATATTTTGCGAAGAGGTTCACGAGTGATGAACGCCATTATGTGTCTTAAAGCGCTGGAAAATTCGTTTCTAAATTATTAGGAGAATATATATCGCGAAGAGGTATGCAAAGAGGTTCGCGCGAGAAGTGGAGGGGTGGACTGGATCCGTGGGAGGGCGTTGACCAACGGTTAATATACACGTAAAATATTTGGTGCTAATTGGTTGGATAGCACGGCCAATAGAGAACAGTCGTGTATTTTAATGGCCGCGCAAATCAATCAGCGCCAAATACTTTATGTATTAGCCATCGGTCAACGCCCTCTCACGAATCCAGTCCTCCGCATCTTTTGCGCCAAGTAGCGCATATCTCTTTGCAAATATATTCTCCTGGTAATTCAGAAACGAATTTTCGAGCGTCTTAAGACACATTACCGCTCGTGAACGCCATTATCGCGCAAACCCTTCGCAAAATACATTCTCCTACATGTCCTACAAACTTGCGAACCTACGAAGACGCGAATTTTCGATAATATTTAAAGACACAAAATTAATACTCGTAATCTATATTACTACTAGTATACCTCTTTGCGAAATATATTCTTTTAAAATTTCATTAATACTCTTTTACGGTGAACGCAGCATAGATATCCCCACTCCTACGTTCATCTCGCTAGGAAAACGGAACGAATCTTTGTCGGGTAGTGCACTGTATGTATAGAGCGCGTATATATGCATACGTGCGAATTATAATATACACGCTGTGCGTGTATCGTATGTACAGGAAGTGTGAGTATACGAGTTGTGTATGCATTGGGTGTACGGAGAGCGACAATAAATGTGAGCGTGAATTACAGTGTGTTATGCGTGTATTTTATGGACAGAGTGCATAAATGGATATAATTTGTATGTAGTACGATTAAAAAAAAAAAAAAA